GATTAAACCCATTGATCCAAAGATAACGATATTATCAGAATTCTGATTTTCTGAGCCTTGTATATCTCTTCAATGTCTTTCTTAATAGAGTTCCCAGCCAGAAACTCATGCCTAATTTTTTCCTGATCTTTAAAACAAATGAAGAAAAAAATTTGTTTCTAAGGAGTTCATTTTATATCCCCTTGCCAGGATTATTACTATATCCACTATATATTACTATATCTCAGTTGCACCTCTCCCTCTCGCCCTGTCCCTGCTCTTTTCTCTGTTGGGTTCTTGTCCTAACATGCAAGGTGATCATGTCACGCTCCTCCTAGGAGTCCTCTGATGCCTTTCTACATCAGAGTAGTGCTATATTCCCCCAAACAATTCAAAAGAGTACTTGCTAGAAGGCTAATTGTGAAACGCTTTGTGAAATGCTTTTTGCCTTCCTTTTACTATACAACTTAGGAGAGTGTTTCCCAAAGCATTTTATACCACCACCTCTGTTCTCCCACTGCACACCCCTGGGAACTAGAACAGTGACATCAAACCTGCCTGAGTTTGAACCACAACTCACAACTGGCCAGCCCAGCTGGCTGCAGGCAAGTCACCTTAAGCCAGGGGTCCTCAAACTTTTTAAACAGGGGGCCAGTTCACTGTCCCTCAGACCGTTGGAGGCCTGGACTATAGTTTTAAAAAAACTATGAACAAATTCCTATGCACACTGCACATATCTTCTTTTGAAGTAAAAAAAACAAACGGGCAAAAACACCCGCATGTGGCCCGTGGGCCGTAGTTTGAGGACGCCTGCCTTAAGCTGTGGTCTCCCCATCTGTAAAACGGGGACAACAAAAGTAGCCACATCACAGACTTGTTATGAGAATTAAATGACTTGATATATGGAAACTGTTCAGCACAGTATATGGTACATTAAAAGGCAGCGATTATTATAATTATTAATGTGACCTGGGTTAGGAACACCATCCTACAGGACCCAGTTAACACTCCCTAGCTGGACACACCAAACCGTTCAAAAGCAGACTCCAGCCTTCCTCTCTACAGTCTCCTCCTCTGCCCCCCTTTTATTGCCATGAGCCCTTCCACACACACCAACAGTTCAGTGCACCCTGAACTCTGCCCTTCCCTGAAAATTCCATGTTCTTTCCTGTTTCTGTACCTCGGCATGAGCTGTTCCCTTTGTTTCTTGTTTGTCCTGTTCTCTAAGCTCTAGGGTTGCTGGGAACAGAGACCTATCATATTCAACTTCCCCAGAGCTTGATTATGTTTGCTGACTACATGAACCAGGCCTGGGCTCTACTGAAGGCCAAGTTCAACAGCAGCACATCAGTGCATTTAAAACAGGTCTGGAAGAGCGAGACCCCGTCTCTACTAAAAATAGAAAGAAATCAATTGGCCACCTAAAAATATATAAAAAAAATTAGCCGGGCATGGTGGTGCATGCCTGTAGTCCCAGCTACTCGGGAGGCTGAGGCAGGAGGATCACTTGAGCCTGGGAGTTTGAGGTTGCTGTGAGCTAGGCTGATGCCACTGCACTCTAGCCTGGGCAACAGAGTGAGACTCTGTCTCAAAAAATAAATAAGTAAAATAAAAATAAAACAGGTCTGATTCTCAGACAGTCTACTGTACCATGTATATGTCATTATACATCTGTCCAAAATTATAGATGGTGCAATGCCAAGAGTGCACTCTAATGTAAACTCTGGGCCTTGGGTGACAATAATAACAACAAATGTTACCACTCTATGGAAGGATGTTAACAGTGGGAGAAGCTGTTCATGTAAGGAGAAATGAGGGTGTATGGAAAATCTGTATACCTTTCTCTCAATTTTGCTGTGAAACTAAAATTGCTCTAAAAAAATCAAAGCCTTTAAAGCAAAAATAAACTCTATTCAAAATTGTTCTTATAGGCCGGGCACGGTGGCTCACGCCTGTAATCCTAGCACTTTGGTAGGCCGAGGCGGGCGGATTGCTCAAGGTCAGGAGTTCGAAACCAGCCTGAGCGAGACCCCGTCTCTACCAAAAATAGAAATAAATTAATTGACCAACTAAAAATATATATATACAAAAAAATTAGCCGGGCATGGTGGCGCATGCCTGTAGTCCCAGCTACTCGGGAGGCTGAGGCAGGAGGATCGCTTGAGCCCAGGAGATTGAGGTTGCTGTGAGCTAGGCTGACGCCACGGCACTCACTCTAGCCTGGGCAACAAAGTGAGACTCTGTCTCAAAAAAAAAAAAAAAAAAAATTGTTCTTATAAAGGTAAATGGCAAAAATAAATAATTAGTGTAAATCAAAAATTCAATCAAAATTATCTTTTAAAAAAGTCTGCCATATATCCTTTCTAAGATAAAGCTATTATAAAATGTAGGATACACACCACCTTAACTATTTCTAATGGCAAAGCCAAATGCCCAACATAATCTGGTTTCCAAGCCTTGACATGGATGAAACATTTTGCTATGTTTGAGATAGGTTTTCACCTTCTCGTCAAAGTATCATGAACTCTATTTGGAAAATGACCCAACTACAAAGTCGAGGTGTGAGGAGTAGACCATGTGCTCACCCCTTCTACTTTTGCATTTGAGGGGAGGATGCATTTCTCGTTGAGGTGTGTGCGTGCAAAGGAAGAGCAGGGTATTACTCTATTTTACCCATCAATTCAGGAGTATTTCTAGGATTGATTCACAAAAAGGCATATCTTCAATGTTATCTGTCATTTTTATGAAAGCATAAAAATTCAAAAAGAAAGAGATTTCCTCTAACGGGAATACACCCATTTAGGGCAAATAAAGTCAGCATCAAATGCAAACCCCACCTTACCAGTGGAACGTCAATCACACTACAACACACACTTTATAGGAGAATCTGGGTGGCACTGCTTCTTCCTTTGTGACAACGTAGTTATGGGATAATCCCAAGCTGACTTTTGCCCTCTCACTGAGAGAAACAATAGACTGTTGAGAGTAATTGTTAACCATCCGCATTATTAACCAGATACCCCTTGCCTTTCCCCGTGCACACTAGCTCTACCTGGTGATTCGCAGAGGTGCCTTCTCAGCCCCTAAGAATGGTGGCTGCTCTTTCACACCCTTGGCTCCTTGAAAATCCAGCTCCCCATGCTAAAGATGACCTTGCCTTCTTTACCACCTGCTGAACTCATACGTATCCCTCGAGTCCCGATTCAAAAAGTATAAAAGCTTTGTTCATCTTTCACTGAGTCGTTCTCTCCCGCTGGCAAGGCTACACCGTTCAGTGGGCCAGACTGCACACTGCACAACTCTAAGGAGAGCCACTGCCTTTCAGGCCTGCCCCTGCGTTCTATTTTAGCACAGATCGCATTCAGTCTTAACTGTTTATTTAAAGGCTGGACTCCCCTACTGTTCTGTACGAGTCTTGAAGACAAAATTGTACCTTATTTTATTTTATTTTATTTTATTTTATTTTATTTTATTTTATTTTATTTTAAGACAGAGTCTCACTTGTTGCCCAAGCTAGAGTGAGTGCCGTGGTGTCAGCCTAGCTCACAGCAACCTCCAACTCCTGGGCTCAAGTGATCCTCCTGCCTCAGCCTCCCGAGTAGCTGGGACTACAGGCATGCGCCACCATGCCCGGCTAATTTTTTGTATATATATTAGTTGACCAATTAATTTCTTTCTATTTATAGTAGAGACAGGGGTCTTGCTCTTGCTCAGGCTGGTTTCGAACTCCTGACCTCGAGCAATCCGCCCGCCCTGGCCTCCCAGAGTGCTAGGATTACAGGCATGAGCCACTGCGCCCGGCCAAAATTGTACTTTATTTATCTTCGTAAATAACGCCAATGCTCAAGTCGGGGTTTCTCACAAAAGTCCCTTGTCCTGAATGTCTGTCAGGCTGAAAGCGGCAGGGCTTGCCTGTCATAAACCCCAGCACACTGCCCGGAGAGTCTCTTCTAAAGAGTAATGACACGACTGTCTACACAGTTCACCCCGGGTCTGCCTAAAAGTGGTCTCGCAGACAAAGCAAGGACAACTCGGGCCACGCGCAAGCTCAAAAGGGACGAAACCCCTGTTTTACAAGCTCCCACAAAAAGCCTCGCTGGTCACGCTCACTTTAAATGCTTTTTTCTCCTTGTCTTCTTTTCGAAGAGGAAAATATAGAAACAAACAAACAAAAAAAAGCGGCTGCATCCATCTGCACGTGGGCGTTTTCTCCTTGACACGCAGCCAGAATACCAGCCATCAGCTCCATTGTTTTAAAGAGAGAGAAAGAATGACTTTGGTCGGGAGAGTCTCTCGTTTTCAACTCCCTCCCCCAAAACCTCCCTCCTTCCTGGCTGAAACAAAGGGGGACTGCCACCCTGTGCCAGCTTTAGGTGCTGTCCTTACTTGTCGTGACATCGGCTCAGGTCCCCCATCCTCTGAAGGTTAAGATCACGCCCATGCTAAGAATAACAGGACTCTTACAAGCACGCTGCTTAGGCTGAAAAACACGCAGGTGCGCCAAGAAACAGATGGCCGGTTCCCTATGCACGCATGCATGCATGCATTCATTCATTCATTTAGAGACAGAGTCTCGCTTTGTTGCCCAGGCTAGAGTGAGTGCCGTGGCGTCAGCCTAGCTCACAGCAACCTCAGACTCCTGGGCTCAAGCGATCCTCCTGCCTCAGCCTCCCGAGTAGCTGGGACTGCAGGCGTGAGCAACCATGCCCGGCTAATTTTTTGTATATATATTTTTAGTTGGTCAATTAATTTCTATTTTTAGTAGAGATGGGCTCTTGCTCAGGCTGGTTTCGAACTCCTGACCCCGAGCAATCGTCCTGCCTCGGCCTCCCAGAGTGCTAGGATTACAGACGTGAGCCACCGCGCTCGGCTGGGGTCTCCCTTATACACCCAACACACACACACACACACACACACACACACACACACACACACACACACACACACACACACACACACACACACACACACACTGTCTGTCTGTCTGTCTGTCTGTCTGTCTGCCTGCCTGTCTCTCTTACCACCCGCAACTCCAGCCTCTGGGCCACGGCCTCCAGGCACTCTTGCCCCGTGCTCTCCACCGACAGCGTGCACTCGATCACGTTGCTGTCCAGCAGGCGGATGCGAGTGACGAAGCAGTTCTTGCTCAGGACGTTGTAGCGCCGTGTCCGGCGGAGCTTCAGACCGAAAGGCATGGCTCCGTGGCCCTCAGACGCCGCCCTCCTGTCCTGGCGCACACGCCCCCGAGACGGCCTCAGCAGCTCCGTGACCGGATGTCGCCACTATCACCCGTGCTCCTGCAGGTAGCGAAAAGGGTGTCCATGCCCGCTGTGGCCCTCTGGAAGGTAGCTGCAGGCAGAGAAGAAACGGCACGGTCACCCACTGAAAGGGACACTGTGGACGGCATGGCGCGCACTGCACACGCGTGTGCACACCCCCTCCTGACAGATGAACACCCGCATTCGGTGACCTGCGAGCTCTGTAGCTCCTAAGTGTCCTGGCCACGTTACCTTAGAGGGGTGACATGATAAAAGCCACGTTTCAATGGAAGAAACGAAGGTCCGGAGAGATTATTAAACAACTCACTCGCAGATGCACAGTGTAAATAGCAAATCCAAATTCAAACTAATGTCCATGCAACTTCAGTTCACGTGCTATTTTCACTATAGACAATAGTATCTGTATCGTTTTTCAGTATATACAGTACTATCTGTATTGTATCTGCAATACAGTTTTTCAGTATATACAATACCATCTACTCAAGAAAACGCCAGGAGTAGAATTTGAACACTGGTGAGTTATTTCCTACAATACAGTTTTTCAGTATATACAATACTATCTACTCAAGAAAACACTAGGCGTAGAATTTGAACACTGGTGAGTTATTTTTTTTTTTTAATTTCTAGATACATCATTTCAACCTCATGAACAGTCCTGTGGTGTTGATTTCATTATACCTATTTTGCAGATGAAAAAAAAGTGAGGTTCAACGATTTAAGTGCCTTAATGAACTTAAAACTGGATCTTGCTCCGCCTCACTCTTTGCAACCCTGTTTCTTTACTTTTATAACATTATTTGCTTTTATTGTCATATTTTTTATTTTATAATTTACTTTATTTACTTAGAATGGATGATATGAAATGGTGGGAATACACATTTAATACAGTTAGCTGCTTTCCACTTGTTCAAAAAAAACGGAAATATATGAATTATTCAGTGCACTTAAAATCACAACTTTGTCCTTTTTTTTCAATAAATAGTTAGAAGTGGGGGACTACCTTATCATCCTGGTCCTTTATAAAATGCTTGATGCAAAAGCCATGTCACCCAACTACAGGCAATTTAACTTACTATTAACTGACACCCTGACATTCCACCAAATGAAAATGATGACATGATTGCCATGGAGAACACAAGAATAAAAATAACAAAAGTGGCTTTACCATTCCACCCAGAGCCAGCAATGCTCTTGCTGGGAGGCTCATTAAACTTATCTTTCAAAGCAGCCAGAAATGTCCAGAAAGCTCTGCCGTCTAAAGGTTCTGGTCTCCATTAAGCTCCAAGGACTATGTCCTGATCATGATCGTTTTGCTAACTTGAGTCCCTAACTCGGGCAATCCACCCAGACTTTATGCCCTTCATCCCTCTGCCGGCACAGAATTACCCCTGAGCCCCGTGACACTTGGATATACAAATAGGAGTAACCGTTCCTTGCAGGAATTCTTGAATTAATAAATAAAATGACTTCGATATTTATAAACCACCCCCTGCCAGTACCCGTGCCTCACGGAGGCTGTCAGGGCATAACCCTACAACACAGCAAAACACACTCCCCAGACTCCCACAGCAGGTCTTTGATACCTGCCCCTGGCACATTCCTTAACATGACAGGTATATGTTTTATGACGGCTTAAAATACATGTGCTAGAAACTCTGGCTTGGTAAAATATATTAACATTTCTAAATCACTTCGTGTTGGCACAGGATTGTGTTTACCTCCAAGATAGCCAATCTGATCTCTTGATATGTACACAAAAGATATGAGGGACTCACCCAAAAAGAAGTAGGGGGTGGGGGGAAGCCAACATTCATATACAGAGCGCTTAGGTGTTTACTACTCACAAATTCCTTTCAACTTATTAAAGCACAGGGCAGAAGATGCCAAGAGTCAATTCCTACATTAACCAGAGAGCCTCCAACAGAGAAAAATATTAATATTTGCTCTGTGGGCAGAAGCCACATCTCTAATCCTGGGCCAGGCACTCTACCTTTGGGTGTGTCTTACCATAAACACCTAGGAAAGAATGTGGCTGGCTTGGTACACATTTATCCCAACAAAAACAATCTCTACTGCATATTCTATGGGACACTAGTCACAATGCACAGCTAGTGAAACAAAAAGCAAACTTCACAACCATGTGTATAGATGATCACAGTATTTATAACAAACAAAAACACATAAACAGGGAAGACTAAGTTCAACAAAAGTATTATTTCAGGCAGGGCTACTTGATGATATCAAATAAAACTCTGCATATTTCTAAACTGTTCCAGCATTTTACAACTGCCTTATATTACTTTTGCAAATAAAAATTATTCTAAAGTCCACTCTCCACTGAAAATGGTGTGTCAGGAGCAATGTCTTTATATTCATGGCTAACAGATGATCTGGCAATATATCTCCCAGAAAATACCTAGTCTGAGTTTTAAAAAAACTTTCTAAATCTTCAATTTGCAAGAAACTTGCAAGATACAGAATTAACAAAAAAAGTTATAAGACAATTGGTCTGGTCCTTCTAAAAGTCAACATCATGCATGAAACAAAGAGAAGGAGGCCAACTGGATGGCCCTAGAATAAAAGAGGTACATAGGAATCAGGAAAACAAAATTGTGTATGTGAAACTTGATTAAATCCAGGTTTGAAAAAAAATAGCTATAAAAGATTTAGTATACAATTAGGGAAATCTGAAAATAGAGAATAGAAATTAGATGATATTGACGTATTTTTGTTAATTTTCTTCGGTTTTTAATAATGGAATTGTGGTTATGTAGGAGAATGGTGTGAGGAGGTATCAGTGGATATATTAGGGGAAAAAAAAGTCAAGATGACCATAACTTACTTTCAAAAGGTTAAAAAACAATCTGTACATATGCAAACACATCTACAAACTAGAGAGTCGAAACAAATATGACAAAATGTTAACAGCTATTGAATCTAGGCAGTGGTATACAGGTACTCACTGCACTGTTCTATTAGCTTTTCTGCAGACCTAAAAATGTTCATAATCAGAAGTTAAAAAGTGCAAGTACCAATAAACAAGCTCATGCCTATCCTTCGAGGCTCCATCTAAATGGTGCTGCCTCTTTCAATAGACTGCTCTGATTCTTACCATCAGATAATCTTTTCTGTCTAAACTCCCACGGTCATCTGTGCTTATTTTAACATATAAATCTAACTTATATTTAAAATATTAGCATATTTTGACTCTGAACTTCCCCAGAGCTAGAAACACATTTTTTTTAAAATCTCTAACATACACATCATTTACCTACATTAAAAGCTCATGACGTTTACACCCAAAACTTGCATAGCCATAGAGCTATGTTTCTGGAAAGAACTTCGGGCACTCGTTTAAGGCATGCCTCACCTTCAGAGGAAGGGCTACGTCTACATTATCCCAGGTAAACAACCTCCTTGACACTAACCTGTAACAACACAGTTAAGAGAAGATGATCTCTTAGTCCCTTTCCGTTTTAACATCTTAATAGTCTACGAATTAACCACTAGTTTGAAACTCTAAAAGAAGCCATAAGCAGATGTGTCAAAATTCCACCTTTTAACTATCCACACAGCCAAACAGCTCTGCCTCAAACATAACTCAGCTCCTCCCTGCTGTATTTTTTTCTTTAAACTGAGCCAGAAACATCTAGCCCTGCTGAATTTTATGCCCAATTCCTGTCCTTTGGCCTTAGAGCAGGGATTAAAATATCCCAACATAAAGTGGCCTTATGTGAGATCCACTCCAAGCATCTCCTTTCTGTTAACTGGTCTGGCTCCTGGCACCTTCCCAGCCTCCCGCATACGGCTCTCTGGGGCCTCATCATAGTCACTGCATCACACGAACGTTATAAACCTAGAACTAAATGCCTTATGCTCACAGAAAGGTCACATGTTTGTGACACCTGATTTTCCTGCTAAAAATTGCTTTTCAAAAGAGACAGAATTAGAGAGTCTTCGTTCTATTTACTATAAGATTCTTTTTAATAGAAAAAAAGAGAGACATATAGTAAATATAGTAACTTATTTTTTAAAAAAGAAGCTTTTTTATAATTTTTATTTAAAAATAAAAAGGCAAAGCATGACCCCAATGCAAATTGTGAACTCTGGGTGACAATGATGTGCTCACGTAGGTTCATCAGTTGTAACAAAGGTGCCACTCTGGTCTGGGATGTTGATAGCAGAGAAGGCTGGGGTGGGGCTGGGGCTGGGGTTAATGTCTATTTAAAAAAATAAAATAAAAAGTCACTTAAAGTATATAATTTTATTTATCTACTCAAGACCATATCTAGTAGACAACATTGAGCTACAATTGTTGCCGAGACCCATTCACAGAAATTAAAGCAACTTTTCAAAAAGATATAGATGGGGAAATAATACTGACTCCTAATTTTTTTTCCCCATTTTTTTCTAATTTCAAATCCTCTTTTTCCTAGGTGCATTCTAGGAAGGAGAGTGTCATGGCATGAAAGAACTAGACTTTCACCCTTTAGAGACTAGAGGAATTTGGAATATGAAGCACTGGGGGGAAATGACAGGGAAAGTGCCTCAAACTCCCTGAACTCTCTAGGCTCCCTGAACTCTTTTCAGGCTCTTTGTCTCAGTAAAGTGATTTGAAACTGAACGTTAAAGAGGAAAGACTGGGGAAAGAAGGCTGACTGGATTCAAGGAGGGAGAACCGCAGTGAAGCTGCGGAGTTCTAAGAACCAAGGTCTACTGTCAGGGAGAGAAACACGTGCGAGCCATTGCTCTAACCAGAGAGGTCTGGAGTGAATGGCAAATGACGCATCTTCTCTCAGCCCTCAGTTTACTCATCTATAAAGATAACATCTACCCCACCTGTCTAGGAAAAGTAAATGAGAAGATGCTTCTAGTGAGCACTCAGTAGGCATGGGCACATTCCCTTCCTGGTCCTCTTATGGGATGCTAGGTTTGCTCAAAGGATAGCCAAGCGGTTGAGTGGGGGACTTGAACACCTTACCATCTACCGTGGGGAAAGTCTTTTAAAAGGAAAACAGGCAAAGAGAACACAGAGTTTAACACGAAGCTGTGACAATCCCATGAGAAAACGGACCAAGGGCAAAAAGCTGAAGCATGCATTCTTCATGGTAGCCCAACCACTGCTACCTGGTTATCCCCCAAACTCGGACACCTGAAACACAAAGGAGACAATCATGGGACTAAGAGTCCCCTAAGAACCCATCCTCAGTGGGGAAGAAGATTCCTTATGTTGGCCAGTAAGATGTGCGTATACAGCCTAGCGTTGCCAGTTGTCCTTTTTTTTTCTAGCGGAATATTGATCCCAAATTCCTCTGGCCTTATAACCCGTAAGGCTGTGTCTCTACAGCTTTCTGGCACCTCACAGCTCCTCTCATACTGGAGTGACTCCCTGACATGTTGCAGCTCCCCAATTAGAATCCTGAAAGGAAAGATCTGGCTTTGCGGCCTCCTATAATCATAAAATGGAGCTTTGTACATGGCAGGACGCTAGAGAGATGTTGGTCACTGTGATGACAGAGAGAACGAATCCTGAGATAGTTTGAGTTTTTGACACTAACACGGGGCAGGAGTTGCCAGGGTGACCTCAACGACTCTTCAAATCATTCGAGGAATTTGGAGCCTTAGATGGGTCTGACTTTTCAGTCCTTTAAGACAGGGTTAAAGATTGGGTGTGGTAGTAGTGTGTGCCTGTAATCCCAGCTAGTCAGGAGGCTGAGGCAGGAGGATCACTTGAGTCCAGGAGTTCAAGACCAGCCTGGGCAACATAGCAAGACCCTGTTCCCCCCATCCACCTCCCCACCCCCACTCAAAAAAAAGAGAGGGTTAAGCTATTGAGAGTAGCCATGAGAAGAAAGTTATTCAGCTCACTGGAGCTTTTCTAGTGGGAAAAATAGAACCGGATTTCCAAAAGAACATCCAAGTTTTCCTTTGCCAGCTCTTGGGGTAGTAGTTTCACACACTAGAGAGAGAGTACATCCCATGCAAGTTCCTTATTAAAAAAACACAATGGAACAACTGATGGTGACAAAAAGTATTCTAGTGTGCCCAGGACTGCTGAAAGCAGATTGTTGGGTTATTTGCTCTGTAAACACTACACTTTTAAAGGCCTTTTTGTAGAATGTGCTACAGTGGAAGAAAACATATAGAAAAGCTTCAAAGTTGTTTCTAAAATTCACTCTTATGTAGTCAATCAGCCTCCTAAAATAAAAGCTCTAATACATAAGTTTCCATCTTTAACTATGTGCTATGGATTCCAGTATTTTGTACTCTCATTTTTAATTTAAAAAAACAAACAAACAAAAGTCAACGAGAAATATCAAAGTTAAAAACGCAAAGCAAAGACAGTTTTCTCATAACACAGAAAAGGTATAGAAAAGGTCATTTGGCTGATCAAAGAAGTTTTTAAATACAATGGGTAAAAAGTAAAGAGATCTTTCACAAATATCCACCAAATACACTGAGTTCCCTGCACAGTCTGTATTTAGTCTTCAATGAATTACCTGCACAGGGAAATGCAGACATTCAAATCCAAATCCTCAACATGGTCACACTTTCTTTTTACTTCCCATGCTATGTTATGTATACTTGACTTTTTTTTTTCCCCCACTAAAGGTAAGTTCTGAAATCACCAAGAGAAACTGCTGTTCAGCTATATTCTACCCTTACCAACAGTCTCTGGAATTCTGTAACTTTATGACTCCCAAGCACACCTCACAGCACTATGGAACCTTGGTCTGGGTGTAAGAAAGGAAAAATTGATGCAACTAGTCCATCCTGTGTATAAACCAACACAAGACACAGCTCAGTTTTGATAACTACTATGTCCTTTTCCTAAGGATAAGTTAAAAAAGAACTGGGATTGGAAAGAATGGGAAAGAAAAGAATTTTAAAAATGTCTCCTTCGGTTTCCCCTTAAAGATGGGCAGAAAGGAAATTAGAGTTTTGTTTGCTAAAAAGTATTAGTTTCTTCTAATTAGTATTATTAGTTTCTTCTATCAGTTTTAGAGCTACATAGTGCCCAAATCATATCCCTACATTAAATTATTTTTAGCCAAGTTTTTGTACAAGGTTTAAGACAAAAACCCCCAATTTTAGTTGCTAAAGAAAATAACTGCAACAACAAAAGCTGTAAAAAAACATGTTTGATCCTTGCCATGTAAAGTGGGAAAAGATAAAAAAAAAGAAGTATAAAAGAAAACTTAAAAAAAAAAGTTTGAAAATTCCATTATCTTCCTCACTTTCCTCACTTGAAGTTTCTCACTTGAGTTCCTCACTTGAACTCACTTTCAAACATCCAGTGTTGAGATGAAAATTTGTCCCAAAACACATTTTCCAGCTTTCTTGTGCACTAACCACATAGAAGACCTTTAAAGCCTTTTTTTTATTTCAGCATATTATGGGGGTACAGATTTTCAGTTTTCAATAAATGCCCATTTTCCACCTCCCCTCACAAGTCTGAGTCTCCAGCATGACCATCCCCCAGATGGTGCACATCTCACTCATTATATATGTATATACCCGCCCCCCTGCCCCCTCCCACCTGCCCAATACCCTTTTACTGTAGTACCTATGTGACCACTTAGGTGCTGTTCAGTTAATACCAATTTGCTAGTGAGTATATGTGGTGTTTGTTTTTCCATTCTTGGGAAACTTTACTTAATAGTATGGGTTCCAGCTCTAACCAGGAAAATATAAGATGTGCTATATCACCATTGTTTCTTAGAGCTGAATAGTACTCCATGGTATACATATACCACATTTTATTAATCCACTCTTGGATTGATGGGCACTTGGGCTGTTTCCACAGCCTTGCAATTATGAATTGTGCTGCTATAAACATTCGAGTGCAGGTGTCTTTTTTGTAGAGTGTCATTGGATCTTTTGGGTAGATGCCCAGTAGTGGGATTGCTGGATCAAATGGTAGAGTCACTTGTATCGCTTTAAGGTATCTCCATATTGCTTTCCACAGAGGTTGAACTAGCTTGCAGTCCCACCAGCAGTGTAGGAGTGTTCCTCTCTCTCTGCAACCACGCCAGCATTTATTGTTCGGAGACTTTTAAGCTATATTTGAAATTACAAGAGAGATTCCTCCTATATTACACCCATTTACAGTGTCACCTCACCTATATGAAAGATGGCCACACAGCAACCTCATCTACACAGAACACAGCTGAAAACCAAGAAATGGAGCCACTTAGCAGTCAAAGTTGCTTACAAGTTCCTCGACCTTGCTTCTTAGCCCTTAACAGATTTCAAAGAGACAAGGGGCTATTACAGATCAGCACACTGACACGAAATAATGCTGGCAGTAAGGGAGGTGACAGGTAAACCATGAAAATCAGCACTCCACCGTATAGAAAGCTGTGTCCCCAATGCCCCATAGTAAAAAAAGGAACAATTAAATAATAGCCAGCACCATCATCTGCTTAAGAAGGCAGAAAACAAAATTCATTTTTAAATAAGTCCCATCCATAGTGGTTAAAAACAACAGCAAACATGCTCTTGAGAGGGTGGGGCCCCAATTACCTGGAATCTCTTTTCCCCTAAGTGGTGGTTCTCTACCCTGCACTTCTCAAATAGCAAACCAGCTCCATGAACTATCAGGGTGGGGTGGGGGTGCTGTAGGAGACAAGCCTCTGGGAGATTAAACTAGTTTGAAAAAGCCTCCTCAGCTTCCTGTTCAAAAAGATCATTTCCCCACCCTCTGGCTTTGAGGATGACTGCCTTGAGATTTCCAGAGAGACGTGACTTTTCCGCAAGAAGGAACATGCAACCATTTTCATTTTTGACCTTACCAAAACATTTCTCTTAAGGTATTCCGAGTACGTCTTGAATGTTTATGGATAAAATAATGCCTGGACTTTTACTTAAAAAATCACAGGGGTGGGGGGAATTGGGAGTGGGTACAGATCGGGCAATACTGCCATGGGTTGACAGTCCTTAAAGGTGGGGGACAGGTATGTCACGGGGCATACTATTCTCCCTCCAGTTTTGTATGGGTCTGAAATTTCCATGCAATTTTTTTTTAATAAAAAATATTTCTCAAATGATACCTTGCACAGTCACCTGGTAAAATAGATAACAGTGCCTACTTTGTTACAGACAAAAGGGGGTCAGAATTTCCCCTCCCACCTCACTCCTCTATGCTTCCAAAATCCAACTTGCACTTAACTAGATCTAACTGACAAGCAACAGCTTTTTGCTTCGTTTTTTTTTTTTTTTTTGAGAAAACGACAAGTTATTTAAAATGTAAAGAATAATCAATCTGGCATAAAGTGAGGGACGCTTGGCTGGCCCAGCTTGCATAATCAATTCCATCAGAACACCTGACTCCGGTTTCACTTCTCAAATGAGCTTTGGCTATTCACGCCAGGAATGCTTTGTCCTAAGACACTCCACCCTCCTGTGAGAGACGTGGAATCTGCAACTCTCCAACTCCAGTTCCTTTTGCTGTCAGTATCTTCAGCCACAGCGATACGTGTCCAGGAATGCAAGAGCTCATTCCAGCCAGGAACCAGAATGGGAGATCCCCGCAAGTGTCGGAGCCCCGAGGAGATGATGAGGAACACCCACATTTATAAAGCAGACACAATGATGGGGGCACTCTGCTGACCATCATCTTCGTCATCTTCAAAAGCGCTGTGAGAAGTCTGTTCTTGTCATCCCATTTCACAGATGAGAGCACGGAGGCTAAGGAGGTGAAAGAGCTTGCCCAAGATCACACAGTGACTAGAGATAGTCAAATTCAGGACGCAGAGCTCCCTCTGACCCTGTGTTCTTACCCAGTGAACCATGCTGCTATTACACAGAAAGGTAGTTATGAGCAATCACCTAGTGATATAAAACTAACAGTGACAACAGCAAGCAACCGCACTCCACAGGGACGGCTGTGACACACCATCAGCAGCCTATCTTTGCTCACCCACAGTGGATGTCACTCACATATGGCAGAGACGGACCCTGAACCTGGGACCCAATGTCAGCCCTCGCACGCTCTATCCAGAGGGATGGTGGCAGAACCAGGGTCCCACCCCAGCACAGCACCCACCAGTGCCTCTTACCCAGACGACCCTCCACCTACTGCCCCACTCTGTTGCAGAGTGGGAGAACCCGAGCATGTTGCACAGAACCTCTCCTTTAAAAACCAATTTGAAAAACGCAACCACAAAAGCAGTTAGAGAGGTTTTCCAGCCTCGGCATATGGCTCACTCATCAAAGCAAAAGAAACTTGCTGAAGACAAAACACACCTTTAATTTGCTCATGCTTCTTCTCCTGCATGCTTGAGCCCTGCAGGAGCAGAACTGGCCAAGAGGGGCGCTCCGTGAGAGGCGGTTGCCTGGAACCCCCCTAAGCAAAGCTTTCCACACCTCCCTTTCCCCTATTTCCTTCCTGCTCCTGCCTGAGTGAGCCCCCTCCAACTTCCCTCTGGGGGCCGGGGTGTCACTTCCTATCCAAACATCAAGCAACGGTGGCCAAGTGACTCTGCCAACTCTCCACCACCGGGCTCTGAGCCTCCCACCTTGTTCACGGGTTCCTCTGCCCCAGCAGCGAGCCCCACCCAGATGCGGATTCACTTCCACGCATGAGCCACTCAACAAGCTGCACAACCACGACTTCACGTCTAACGTGGGGATGTTAACACCATCCACCACCCAGAGTCCTTAGGCAGATTAAATGAGTTAATAATACATAAATTCTCAACAGATGGCAAGCACTACTTATGTGTTTGTTCTCACTGCCATTATTATTGTTGCTATTATTGTTGCTGTACCCTGCAGGAAGCCCAAGGAAACACATTGACTGCTAAGTACCGCGGCCATAAAAACTTCTTCCCAACAAGCCAATAGTTACAGTGCAGAGGATTTAAGTTAAAGATATACGCCACAAGGACAAAACGTGAAAGCAAAACAAGCAACTACAGGGCCCACTGACTTGGGACCATGAGAGGTAGTGGGTTTCAGACATGTGACCACTCCGGTGACTCAGGAGTACAACCAAGCAGGTTCTAAAGTGTTAAAATAGGCAGGGCGCAGTGGCGCATGCCAGTAACCCTAACGCTCTGGGAGACCGAGGCGGGAGGATTGCTTGAGGTCAGGAGTTCGAGACCAGCCTGAGCAAGAGCAAGACCCTGTCTCTATCTACCAAAGACAGAAAAATTAGCCAGGCGTGGTGGTGCACACTTGTAGACTCAGCTATTCAGGAGCCTGAAGCAGGAGGATCACTTGAGTCCAGGAATTTGAGGTTGCGGTAAGCTATGAT